ATATAATGTAACCGGTAGTGTTTATGATTAAAAAAAATTATGTGATCGGTATCGATGATCGGCCCTCATGGGTGATCGGAATCTGAATCTGCAGGAAAAAATCCTGATCAGCACATCTCTGTTACACAGCGATAACCTGATTAAAGTTAAATACAAAAAAACATTTTGAAATTAAAAGGAAAAAAGCTGTCTAAACCAACATGATCATATCCGTTTCATCAAAAATTCTGTGATTAACCACAAAAACTGTTTAATTTCACTACTTCCACCCATGTCTGGTTACTTTCTAAACTTCAAACTCAATAAAACACTTCAAGAAGCAGAATTATGTATATATCTAAACACATCCTTAAGAGAGATCAAAGGCCACTACGGACCAAAGAGAACCAAGAAGAAAATAGACGATCAACTTATGAAGTGCTGATCCCGTTACATCTGATTTAAAAGTAAAGCTGCATTTTAGAACCGAACAGAACTAAAGGAAAACAAAGTGGAGCTACTGTGTGGCGGCGCATACCGCTTTCCGGATTGAATCGTGTCCGTCACGGCATCAGAAGTCTGCACCATGTTGATTTGTAATTATCACGAGTGCCGACTATCCCAACGCATCCAGCGCACGCCATGGGAACGTGCTCAACTCGAGTGGCCCTACCTCCGAAGCTACACAATTCCGTGGCACCGCAGCCACGAGGTATGTGTACACCCTCCACCTTGCCCGGTTCACACAAAGTTCCTCCACACACCAGGCCAAGGCCCGTGCAGGGCATGCAGATTCACCCCGCTCCACCAGTCCACTGGGTGGGACCCCTCCTATCACCCAACAGCTGCCCCGTCGCCACTGGGGAGGTTGTAGACGCTGCAACACATGCCCAACCACAAACACATGCGCGACCAAGTTGTGCGTGGTTCCCCTAAGAGACACTCACGACCGCTTATATGTCTGCATTTAAAGGGACGAAGGCCACAGCCTGCGACACCTCAGCTGCGGAAGGACAAAAGGGGGGCAATTCCTTCCGATTGATTTTTTGGGACTTCAGAGTCGGTCTGGTCAAACTCGACTCGCCACCCGGGACGGTTGGTTTTGCCGGCGACAGTGCCGTTCCAGCGGGACCACTAGGAGGTACAACCATGTAACTACTGCTCCTCGGCCTAAGGGGCAGCTCTCCCACCTTCTACCCCTATTTATTGGCCGAGGACCCCCAGAAGGAAGTGCTAGTGACTCCACCGTTCCACGGCCGTAGCGGTACTGAGTGAAGCTCTATTCACCCCTTAAGAGAGTCAGTTACTCTCTTAAGGGAGAATAATGGCTCCTGCTCTCTAAAAGAATATCCTGTAATGACAATCATTCTGTGACCTTAAACACACCAGCAAGTCGACTCAAAAAAAAAAAAAAAAACACAGAGAGAATGAGAGTTTTTGGAGTGGCATAGTTAAAGTTCAGCTTTAAATGCGATTCAGATGCCATGGCTTGACCTTAAACAGGCCATTCATAACAAAAAACCTCCAATGGGGCTAATTTAAAACAATTATTAAATTAAAAGAGAGTGACTCAGAACAGAGGTCCATTATCACAAAAGCTTGACCGTTTTTGCCAACAATAGTTGCAAAACCATTTGAGTGACAAACCTGCTTTTATAGCCATGAATTGTGTAACCTAAATTACATTCTAGGACCATTAGGATTATTAAAGAAATAATCCAAGTTAGAGTCAGTCCAAGTGATTCTAAAAACTAGGTTCGTCTGCTAGAGGAAGTGGCAAAATGTAAAACACAGAAACAACCAGATGGTGCAAAATTGGTGAATTGTATTAATATTTACAATATATACAGGTTAGTCAACAGTTAATGAAGTCCAGAATGGTTCCTTAATCCAAGGAATTCAACAGTTCTTGCTGGTGATGAAAGGAACAAAAAAATAATCCAATTTATGGCCGGATGTCTCCAACCAATTCGGAATAGTTTTCTTTGATAGAAGGTGGTGTGGTATTTCCGGATCCGCTAATTGGTTAGTTCGCCAGTCTGGTCAGCATACCAGACAATCCGTGATTTATCCCTGCAGCAAAGTCCTTTGAATGGGAATCTGTAACACACCTGGCCTGTGTAAACAGGCCTAAATAATCAGTTCACATGTACACGCATTTTCTTATAATTAAATGAGTTTACATAATTATGCAACTTATGCAAATTCAATTTCTTTTTACAACAGTAGTAACAGTAGTGTTTTATACTGGTAAACATTTCAGTTTGAATGTGCTATATTTAGATCGGTGTATAACCAACTCAACGAGCTGGGAAGGCTAGTGCTAGCATGCTAGCTCCCAAACACAACACTCACCAGTTCCCTCTTGACAAACCGTGATCGCTACAGCGTTTGGTCGAATGCTTACACGTCTGCAAATTAACAGAGGTACACGATTGAAGAATGCACAACAGACGTTTAACTGCTTTGGAACAGACCAAAGTCCGACAGCGCCTCCTACCTAGGGTGCCAATGAGCAGCCATATAAGCGGTAGCTGTCAATTTAGGACGCTGACGTGCAGCTGTCACATGACGTTAAAACCGCGCGAGAACAGTGTTGTTCTCGCGCGGTTTGTATTAAATAAATTAAGGAAAGGAGGATTTTTTTTTTTTATTAAATCTTTAAATAAAATAAATAAAATTAAATCTAACAAAAGGGAAAATAAAATAAACTGAATCTAATATGGAAAAATTATACTGGTTACAATTGGAAAACGTTTAATCAAATTGTCTGATATTGAAATTGGCTTTATGATCTGAAACATTTAAAAAAGAGAAGAAATCTGCAAGCAGGCAATTACTTTTTAACTTCCCTGCATCCCCCAAAGTCTGCCTCTTTCTCCAGAGTTGGATGACGTTTACAGACAGTCACGTCCTGAAGTAGTTTCATCTGACCCTAATTTAAGTATAATCTTTTATAAAAAGAAGCTAAAATGAGTACAGGCAGTATAGAGAATCTATACAAAACCAGCTTGTAGTATAAATGAAAAATAAGAGACAGCCATAACATAGCATGACTCTGGTGCTCTCTCAAAAATCCTCAAAGTCAGTGGCTACCACAGAGCTTCAGAGCCGTTTCTGCTCAAGCCTCAGGCTGCAGCCATGGCAAAGCCTGCAGCTGCTGCTGGAGGCCAAGCAGAGGGAATCTCTGAGTGATAAAAATAATTGGAAGGAAATAATGCAGCATGGAAGATTTAAAAATTCACAACCCGGACCCCAATGAACTATCTTCCCAATATATATATATATATATATATATATACTGTATATTTGAGAAACAGTAACAA